CCGCGGCTCTTATTATCTTCTCCAACATCAGATTAAAAAAATCACACGAAAGGGAGTCCCCTTGTCTGAAACCTCGTTTGGTATCAAACGGCTCGGATAGGTCCTTCCTTATTCTGACGGATCTGGATTTATTGCTCAACGTCATTTTACACAGCCGTATTAGTTTCGCGGGGATACCAAATTCAGACATCGCGGCATAAAGGCAACTTCTCTTCGTGCTGTCGAAAGCGGATTTGAAATCGACAAATATATGGTCTGTGTCGATCCTATTTTTGCGGGTCTTTTCCAAGATTTGGTGTATTGTGAATACCTGATCTATGGTAGATTTGCCAGGTCTTAAGCCACACTGATAAGGTCCAATCAGTTCGTTGACGGTGGGCTTCAGTCTTTCGCATAATACACTCGATAAGACCTTATAACCTATGCTTAGCAGGCTGATTCTTGAATTTCTTGTGGATTGGGCAGAGCACACTTTAAGNGATGCACTGAAACATAAAAAACATCGATGCATTTTTGCCACTGACATCCCTACCGTCAGCTCGAGCAGCATTGTTATTTTTCATCAGCATAATCCCTATTCGTACCTCGTCATAGTCAGGCGCTGGGACATCGATTCCATCGTCATCGACTGGGGGCTCGGGTTCGTCTTCTCCACTACTTTCAGTGCTGCTGCCATTCAATAAAGTGGAAAAGTGTTCTCTCCATAGCTTAAGTGCGTTCTGGACATCAGTCTCTAGGTCGCCATGGTTGTTCTTACAGGAGTTCGCCTTGGTCTTGGAACCTTCAGTAAGTCGGCTAACTCTGATAAAATTTTCGGGCATTTTTCCTGTCGGCCAGTATTTCAAGCTCTTAAATACGTCTCCCTTCCTTCTTCAGTTCCCTATAACGGTCCCACATGGCTCGCGTTGCGCCCGATCGCTGCGTGGCCCTGTAGGCGGCATCTTTTTTCTCTACAGCTTCTTGATATTCCTCATCGCATCAGTTGGTCTTCCGGGCTCGCTCAAATCCTACTACTTCTTCGGCGGCGGTACTTAATGATCAGGAAATGTGGTTCCACTGCTCGCGTATGTCGGATTGTCGAAGAGCGCTCTCAGGGAGCAGGTATGTGGGTCGAGTGGCGAATAAATTGGCCGTCTGTTGTGATGGCAGCTTTTCGACGTTAAGCTTTCCTTGCATTGTTGGGTGCACAATTTTTGCTGCACAGAGGCGTGTGCGTATCTTTTCTACATCAAGATAGTGGTCCGAGTCGATGTTTGGTCCTCGGAGTGTACGCACGTCTAAAACGCTTGAAGCGTGCCTCCCGTCTTTCACAACATGATCGATTTGATTTCTCGTTTTTCGATCTGGAGATAGCTATGTAGCTTGGTGGATGTTCTTATGCTGGAACCTAGTACTACATATTACTATGTTTCGGGCCCCGGCGAAGTCGATCAGGCCGTTTCGGACGTTTCGTCGTGGAGGCTGAATTTTCCGACAGTGGCGCCAAAGACCCCTTCCTTGCCTACCTAGGCATTAAAATCGCCAAGCACGATTTTGACATCGTGTCGGGGGCAGCGCTCATATGTACGTTCCAAGCGCTCATAGAAGAAACGCCTTGGACGCCTCATCCTTCTCTTCCGTGGGCGCAGATGAGCGAGATGTTGAAAAATTTAGCTTTGATGCGGATTGTGGCTCCACCGGGCTGAACTCCAGTACTCGGCGACGGAGTCCCTCTCCTACCACGAATCCAACACCGAATTTGCGCTCCTTTACGTGGCAACTGTAGTAGACGTCGCAAGGCTTGACACTTACTTTTCCTTGCCATGTCCATTGCATTTCTTGGATGGCGGTGATGTCAGCCTTTGTCTTGCCGAGGACATCAACCAACCGGGAAGAGGCACCTTCCCCATTAAGGGTCCGGATATTCCAGGTGCATACCCTCAAATCATAGTCCTTTATACGTTTGCCGTGGTCGTCATCAAAAAAGGGGGTCTGATCCGAGGCTTGTTGGAATTTTTCATTGGGCGGGGTTTTAGCGTGGCGGGACCCAAACCCAGCACACGCGAAGTTTTACGCCTTCTCACTTTATCTCGCTCCCAAACGGGTGTTTGGTTGCTACCCAGAGGATACGTGGATATAAATATTCGGACGTTGTGTGCTGCGATTTGAACCGTACGCACAAGAATCGCTTCTGGCCACTCCCAGGTGAATGGCAGTCAAAAGTTTTCCACTTCTGCGCACGGAACCATACTTAAATTTTTTATTCCAAATTTTCGCTTAATATTAAGACATTGTTTTAATAACCCTCACTAAGTAGAATTCTCCTTTCTATGTGTCCGAAGGAGAGGGGTCTTCGGCCGCGATTAGGGATTATAACCCTCACTAACAGGCCTATTCTGCTTGTTACGGAACATTTTAACACCGGAAAATTTTGTTACCAAATAATAACACCACTTTTGTAGACGCAATTCTAAGCGCCTTTGTAACAATTTAATCTATTCGGCAATTCAGCAATAAAGTTTTGTATAAAATCTGGTGTTGCATACTTCACGGGGCAATATTTTGTTACCAGCTTATGAGATGGTAACAAAATTTACCTGTGCGCAGAATGCGAAAAGGGTTTAAAAATTACCAGGAACTTTATTTACCGGCAACAAAATTTTTGTTACCAACGCAGAATAGGCCTGTAAGTACAATTCTCCTTTCTGTGTTTCCTTTCTGTGTAGGCGGCCTTCGGCCGCGCTTAGGGATTATAACCCTCACCAAGTAGCATTCTCTTTTCTGTGTTGCCGAAGAATAGGGGATGAACACCTTTTGCAGAGAACACCTTTCGGTGTAGGCGGCCTTCGGCCGCGCTTAGGGATTATAACCCTCTCTAAGTAGAATTCTTCTTTCTGTGTTGCCGAGTAAGGGCTGAACACCTTTTACGCAGAGCTCATTGTTTAACATATTAAAAAAACACACTATGCTCATTTATTCCGTAATATTATCGAGGACATTGTGTAGCAAACGTAGAATATTTAACATCCTGTCATCTTAGTGTATTTAATTTTCGAACATCTGGTAGCACCAACATGAGTTCACCATTACAGCCATTTTGATTTGTTTGCCTGTTTACTTTGTTGAAGAAAAGTAGTGACATTATTAAACGCGTTCATATTGTTAAAAAATAAAATAGAATACTTTTGATGTCATATATGTAATACTCACGATGCAGCGAAACAGAGGTGGCGCCTTCCGCGGACCGCTAATCCTCTCTTTCTCGATTTGACAGCATCCACATCCATCGTTGACGTCACATTATTATTTTTGAGCACTAGTGATGAATACTAAATATTCATGTTGTACCTATTTGCCGAAAAGTTGTACCTAAAAGTAGATACACGTACCTAAACAGTAAACATGTACTTTTATGTGCGCATATTTTTGACACTTGGTGGACTACACCTTCCATCTGTTCCATCT